GATAGAAACAAACGTCTTAGATAGGTAGATAGATAGATAGATAGATAGATAGATAGGTAGATAGAAACGTCTTAGATAGATAGATAGATAGATAGATAGATAGATAGATATCGGGTATTTAGTACTATTCTGTCATAATTGTAGTAGGTTATAGCATGCTTGTCTTGCTCTATATGTTATCAATGATTTTTTCAGTTGCTGAAAAACTTCATTTCATGCTTCTTCGTCAAATATAAAAACCTTTTGTTTTTATTCGAAGACATTTCTACGCCTATATCTTAGATAAATTGAAACGACCTCAGACCGTCACTTTTTATATTTCTTTCTTTATTTTATATCTGTCAGTTCCAATGGTTATCTCGCTCTCTCCTCTCTTCCCCTCTTCTCGTCTTCTCTTTGCCTTTATCGGCATATAAATGTCCTATTTAGACTGGAACTTCACCTATTTTAAACTTGCTGCTACTGTTTACAAATGCGATAAAACGAGTGCATCTAATGTAAATATGCACCACTTCTGATGCATCTTAATCCGTCTAAGGCCTCGACCAATCAACACGACCGGAATATATTCACAGTGGTGTTAAGAGAGATTTCCGGGGCATGACAAAAGAAGTGCGACACTTAACCCAAATGAGTAATTCAAGCAAACTTTCAAATATCAACTTCCCGACTTCAAACTGAAGCCGTTCGCTTTGGATAGAAACTACTAAAAAAAAAGAAGTTGCTCATATGCAAATAAATTAATAAGTAAATGAATAAATAATTAAATAATAATAAAAATATGCTGAATGTGTCTCGGTTCAAACAAGAAGTAATTCCTCAAGATTTCGTAAGTTTTGTCATTTAATCCGATTTTTAGAATAGGATCGAACAAAAAAAAAAAAAAAAAAAAAAAAAAAATAAACAAACAAAACAGAATAAATAAATTTAACCCAGCATAGCAATCAGTTTCACTGTCGGATTTTTTTTTTTTTTTTTTTTTTAAAGCATTTCCCAACCCCCACCTCCCATAGCAAGGAAGAAATCCACCAGCACGCAAAGGGTTATAGAGGATTTGGGAGCGAAAGCAGGTAGGAATGAAAGAGGAAAGGATGGGGAGAAGGATAATGAATAAATCAAGCCAACTGGATATGTCGATTGACATTACATTTGAAAAGTTGGAGATTATAGCTATCAGGGAAACAGGAATAGGGAAGGGAGTTCCACAGGCGAGAGGTCCGAGACATGAAGCTATTGGAGTTAGAAGAGACGGCTACATTTAACAGTTGCAGCAGTGAAACGGTGAGAGCGGGATGCCAGCCTCGTAGGACGCTTGAATTCGCTAAGTCTGGGAACCAGCGATAGCAGCTCATCGGATTTAAAACTAAAACGCAATTTTAAACCAGAATTTTAAACGTAATTTCAGCATATTTAGCGGTATTACATTTGATATTTATGATGGCCTTATTTATTAAGGTTGTCGTAAACGGGAGTAACAGTGGGGATAAGCTTCAAGTGTCAATAAAATGTTCCTGTGGGGCATGAGCGTCAAGTAGCCACTGACAACGCTTTGTCGAAGAAGGTGAACCACAAGCGCCTCATATCCAGCGCTTTGGGAAAATAGAGCTCGTCAGCTCTGGAAGGTAGTTCGTCTAGGGGAAGGAAAACTATGACTTATACCTTAATCGCCTTACCGCTATAACTAAACAAGGCTATGTGAGTAAATCCAGACAGAAAATGTAGAATGGAACCCTGGAGGGATTGGCTGTCAACCATGAAAAATCTTCTGGCAACACTTGCAGCCAATGTAATGCCCTTTATTTTTTTGGGTATTGTCAGCACGATGGAAAAGGGGGCATGTGTTTTCGACCCGGTATAACCTCTATATACATACCATCGACAAGTTTTACATACTGTAGTGGTTGCTCCGATCTCATGACCAAAGGATTGAATTTTGACAAAATATGACTATCGTTACCTCGGTAGATAAAAGGATGCTTACTACTACTACTACTACACACACACACACACACACACACACACACACACACACACACACACACACACACACACATATATATATATATATATATATATATATATATATATATATATATGACCGGCTACATTGTACATTCCCCACTTCCGACTTATACCACCAAATAAGAACATTTTAATATCAGATTTTTTTATTATATAATTTTTACAAGGGAGAGGGGGATTTTTCTTTTAAATTTCCATTGCCGTATGCACGGGGAGGAACAAGCTCTTCCTTAAAGGATCAGAATTGTCTAAGATTTTCAACCGGGATACAATAATAATAATAATCTTCAACTGTTGGACTAACGTGAGATTACAAATGAAAAAGACTAATAGAAGAGAATTAATCGAAAGAGATAAAGCGAAATCTTAATATGTGTACTCTTCGGAAAGATATCCATCGCAGTTACATTCTCCACACATTTGAATGCAAAGTTGTCCTTCTCCTAGTACAGCTGCTAGTGATCTGCACAGAGCCAAAGCTAGCACTTTATATAACCTATATCTAGTATTAGTGAGGAGAATAGTGTATTTTTTTTTTCTCCAGGTTGTCAGTACGTGGTGAATGTAACAGACTGGTGTAAGTTTGAAATCGGATCTTTGAATTAAATTTGTTTGCACAATTCCGTGTGGATCGTCGCTTGTGTCTGTTTACTTTAAGATCTATTATCAGTTCAATTGCTCAAATCTTTTAACATGTGGTTGATATATACAGGGTGTCTAGAAATCTCTTTATACTCAAAAAAAAAAAATATTGCAAAAGCAAATAACCAGACAAATATGTGGAAATTGTTAGAAAATGAGAAGTATATATTGAAGTTTTTTTTTACCTAATTCAATACACCGCTATACGGGCACCATTGGTTACAGGAAGCACATAAAAACGGTACTTGATTTCTTGCCATATTTGCTGTATCATAGCCTCATCAATGGTGGCAATGGCATTAGTGATCTTTTGCTTTAGATCAATGACGTCTCGTATCTATATTCAATACACGCTATCTTTGACACATAAATAGATCCAGTGGTGTCATATTTGATGAACGCGGTGGACAACGAATTGGGTCATCCCTTCTAATCCACCTGTCTAGAAATCTTCGATTCATTCAACAGTGCTTCATTCATAGCTTAAATAGGATTAGAGGATAGCTTAAATACATAAAATCAATGTGATTAAAATCTTTGATAACTACTGAATACATAGAACAAATCTGTTTAAGATGTCTCATCAATTGCCTTTGTAATATATTATTTAAATTGTAAAGATACTTTATGTATACCCTGTATATATTATCAGTTTCCTTTTGGTGCAGAACTTTCTATCACCTTTATAAGTAGTACCGGTCTTCAAGCGTTATTTGTGTAATCATGTCCAGGTTGCAGGAAATAGAATACATCAGCCTCTAAGGAAGGAACATGGAAGTATAGATTAAAAACAACAATGAAGAATAAAATGTTTTAAATAATGCGCTAAGGGACACATAACAGGTTTGGATAAGTAATTTAGAAATATCATGTTGATTAGATTTCATTTTGATCCTTTCAAGTTCAGGGATTAATTTCTTTGTAGCCTTAGAAAATTGATTGGGAAAAATACCAAAATTTTCTTTCAAATATTTTTATTTCATTTTTCCAAGTACTTCCAATCTCATCTGAGACCATCTTCAGGGAGTTAAGTTGTCTGTGAATATGTATATAGGTTGTTGTAAATTTAAAACATTTTAACTGTTCGTTTTTACTGCTTATGCAGCATTCTAGATTTCAAAGTTCAAAGTTTGTTTTTTTGGTGGGGGGTGCGGGGTCCCAGTGTAAAGGAAGTAACTTTTCCATTTTTGCTCGTACAGATATAATTTTTTTTATAAGCATTTAAGAAGTTTGTTGCTATACTCATAGTTAGACTTTAATTCTCTTATATAAAGAGCTTTAAGGATTTTTAGTTTTTGCTTATTATTGTTTTATATAATTTTTATTTTTTTAACCATTTCACCCCAAGCAAGGCGGGAAGCCACTAGGATGCAAGGGGTTACAGAAAATTTAGAGCAAGATCCGATAGGAGTGGTAGAAGAAAGGATGAGGGTAGGGGATAGATCAAGGCAACTGGAGATGTCGATTGACATTACACTTGAATAGCTGGAGATTATAGCTCTCAGGGAAACTGGAATAGGGAAAGGAGTTCCACAGGCGAGAGGTGCAAGACATGAAGCTATTGGAGTAGAAGAAACGGCTACATTTAAGAGTTTCGACCGTGAAGGGGTGAGAGCGGAATGCCAGCCTCGTAGGGCGCTTGAACTCATGACGTCTGGGAACCAGCGAATGCAGCTCCTCGGAGCAATTGCCATGAAAGTATTTGTAGAACAGACAGATATATTTTCAATATCTGTCTAATCTGTAAGTGTTGGCATGAGGGGTCTTTTAAATGCTGAGTTGCTGAACTATGCTCAGCCATGTAAATTTTTTTGTTAGCATTGACACACACACACACACACATATATATATATATATATATATATATATATATATATATATATATATATAAATTTTAACCTATTGTCGGACTGGATAATATCCGATACATTTATATACCTTTCTACTTATGTCTTATTTTTCAGATTAAAACTCGAATAACGTATGTATTCAACATACCAAGAAGAAATATCCACCTCTTAATTTATTAATTTAAAATAACTCAAAAACATTCCCAATTACTACTATAATTATTGTTTGAATTTATCCCTCCTTCATCTTTCATCGTATTACTATCACCTAGTCTCACCTTTCCTCCTCCAACCATCACTCTTAGAAGGCTTGGAAATTCTGTGCCTAAACCCTTGACCATCGAGGCGAACAGAAATTTTTCAGGTCTGGCCATCACTTTAACACCTCAACCATCCTTCACCAAACTGCTATCAATAACCACTATGGTTCACCCCGTCACGTTTTTTGCCTATATATATATATATATATATATATATATATATATATATATATATATATATATATATATATTTTCAAGCAAATAGAAAAAAGGGAAGTGACGTTTCATATGCGGCTTACTTACAAACAGAATTATTCATAGCCATTTTGGTTCTCACGTCGAAGTGCAATTAAATGCACTGAAACGAAGTTGCATCTTTGTAGTTAGTAAATTATTTTTGTGTATATGAAAAAATATAAATAATTATGGCTCTACTATCGGGATTGAGCCCTCTTTTGAATGAATGCTCTGAACGTTAGAATTTATATTTATTTTCGTTCTGATCGCATTCATATATATATATATATATATATATAAATATATATATATATATATATATTTTGGTGTAACAGCAAAATTGTCCTACTCTTGTTAAGGCATAATTTGCGATCCCACAAAATATTTAATATGTAAAAAAAGAAAAGAAAAAAATAATATGGCTAGATGCAACAGAAAGTTTTATGCTAACAATTTTTTCTCTCCCACATCTCGCTTGTGGAACTCTCTTCCGGATACGTGCTTTCCAGTCAAGAGTGATCATCAAATATATAAATGCAATGACGATCGTTAATTTCTGTTTTCGTAATTTCTGGTCTTTTATTTTTCTCGGTCCTTAGTAATGCTTTTCTCTTTTACGCGCTGTAATTTATGGGCTTTATTGCCTTACATGGGGGCGAAATAATTTGTAAAAATATTCAAGGTGATTTAAACGGAATGAATAAGTGAAAATGACGTTATTTTTTTTAAGGGATTACAGGAAAATTTAACTTATTATGTTTGTTTTTATTCATTTATTTTGAAGACGTTAATATATACTTTGTTACAATCTATGCTATTTATATTAAACCAAATTATTGAGTAAAGATTTAATTGATCAAATAAATATTTATTTTGGCAATAATGGTGCTTTAATTACTCTAGCAACTGCCTTAAAATCAGCTATTATGTATTCGACCTTGAAAACTTCGCAGACCAGTTGTAATTACACAGGCCTGTGATGTTTTCAAGGCCGAATCATAGCTGATTTTAAGGCAGTTTTTTTATGCTGAATTCAAAATTCATACGCATTTTTTTCTAATCACATTAATTTTTTTAAATACATGTTCTTACTTAAAATGTATAGAACAAAATTATAACTCTCTTTTCTTACTAAATTAAACAAATAAGGCTAACGTTAGAGATGATATAGCCGCAAATATCTCACACTGTGCATAGTAAACTGAACGATACACAAAGGAAGCTCTTCATGGATGAAAGGTCTTTTCAGGGACTTCCTCCTGTGCTCGGCAGTCACCGCATCTCGTTTCAAGCACCAGCACTAGTCCAGTTTACAACCCACCGGCCTTGCTACCGCTTTTTCATAATGTGAATGTCTTGCTTAAAGCTCTCACTCTGCTCTTCACTGAAATATCTACAGTTCTTTGGAAAATAGTCCACGTGTGACCGCAGAAATTGCAGTTTGACTGACATTCGTGTCCAGAGTCGGTGGAAACTCTTCAGTAGCTCTTCAATTTCCTTCTCGTATTCCGCACTCCGATGATTTCCCAGGAATTTTGTAATTACTGACTTCGGCAACTGCTAGGTGGACAGTTCATCTTTACTCAGTGATACGTCCTTCATTACTTCTCTTGATAAAGGGCCGTCAAATATATCAGCCTTGGGTTTCTCCGTGCTTATCCCTGGGAACTTCTCCTGTAGAAAAGCAAACCCGCTGCCTTTCCTATCCATTGCCTTCATTACCCTTAACTTGATAAGTAAGGAAGCAGTATTTTGATTGGGTCAACGAGAGTGTGAGACTAGACGTTATACCATCCAGTTTTTAACCCTTGTCTTAACGGCCATTCTTGTCTGTCATAATTTTGGTCGTCAGCCCGGATGTCTCAGAGACACAGAAACTAAGGGTACTTTGTGTACCTACCTTGGAGCCTTAGGAACAGTCCAACTACCTTAACATTTCCACAGATCAACCATTTGTGCCCCTGGTAGGTAACAGCAGAAAACAAATGATTCATGCAGTTGTGACTTTCATTCATTTGTACTGAATACCCAATAGGGATAGATGAAAAGCTAATCCCATTATATAGAAAAACTGATTTGAAACTTCTAATCTATGGATCAATAAAATGTTTCCATTCCATAGCATCATACTCTAAGCACATTGATTTGATCAATCCAGCAATGTTGTTGCAATAAACCAATGATGACATCCTGGAACGTAAAAAAAAACATAATTCTCTCTCATAGTCTCGTTACCAGTAGAAAGTTTTCCCTGGTGCCAACAGATGTTTCTTTTTGAAACGTGAACCTAACACCTGATCAGACTCGTTTGAAAGGTTCAAGTCTCGTGTCAGGACGCTGAGTTCTGCTTGCGTCAAGGGTACTGGCTGGTTGTCCACTTCTGGCTTGTATGCGTCATCCTTAGCTACAACAGTCATGTCACTATATTCGAAATCAAAGCTATATTCCATGTTACCACCTGACTCAGGAAGGTCTGGGCCATGAGTCATTGGTCTTATGGTAAAACGTACATCGGGGTATTAGACATGTAGCTTGTTCTTGCAATTTATTCTTTTTAGATTTATCATGCAGATATAGCAGTCCATAATGTGTTCTTTTCCTCTCCACCAGACCATTGGAAATGCGAATGGGATACTCTTCCTTTTAACATTCCCCCAATCCCCCAAGTTCTCCAAGCATGTTTTACAGAAAACGTAGGGAGGGAACTGCTTATCCTTGTCCCCTAGTTTGACCCCAAAGTACACGCGATAAGTCAGTGATTTGGGCTTTACGGTTAGGAAGAACCACATTACCACAAATATAACAGAACCTGTTAGGATTATTCTTACAGTTGCGGTCCATTCTTCCTGGAATATAAATGTCAAGCTGAAAAGAGAATAAAATAAATCAGCACTCAGTTCGTCGTTGACGCTTGACACAGTATATTAAAATCATTTTAAGCTGATGGATAAGCCTCAATCCCTCTAGTTATGTGGGTGTTAGCTTAGGTACACATACAACATTATATGCTATACTAAACATCAAGCACCCACGATCAGCTTTGACAAGTGTAGTCTACAGGATTTTGAATAAGTGTTATTATTGTGTACAAATTGTTGGGAAGTATTCAAGCACATCTTAAAAATCAGACCTGACCAAAGACAATGAATTATATTTTTGAATTCAGCATAAAATGGCGATCAGATATCACTTGATAAACCTTTGACCTTTAGAAAAAATAACGCAGGCCAGTGTTATAGATCATAAAACCTTTTGAAAATTGATTTAGGAACGCTCTTTAAAAATTTCAAGTAATTTTTGTCTTCCTCGGAAGATGGGGGAAAACGCAACGGTGGAAAATGCGAGTTCATTATCTGAGTCAATCAGTGCAGACATTTAGGATAGTTCAGCGGATAACTAGATCGGCATTATCACGATGAATCGAAGAGTGTTGTAGAACTAGCTCTTTTTGAAGAATACCTGAGTAAGAAAAAGAAATTACCGAGATATTGAAATAATAACTTGCAAATCATAATAATTGTTCTCTTCGATATCCTAACAGACGCGGGGAATTTCTGAACGAAAAAAAAAAGTAAGCAAAAGCACAAGTCACAGTAAAATCTGTAATAGCTGTTCGATTATCTTATACTATTCATCCAATACCATCCCAGAGAGCCACTCAAAGTAGAGGGTTAGTGAATGAAGTGATTTAAGGGCGTAAAAAGTAAGAAGTATCTATTATGAAGATATGTAGGATGGATAAAGACCTAGACTTGAAGAGGTTACGATTGTAATGATAAGGGAAGCATCTTGACGGGAGTCTGTTATACAAAGTAACAGTTCTTGGAAAAGGAAAGTCTGCGGGGAAATTCATCCTTACCATTAGAATCCGATTAGTCGACTCTGTGTTCGTGGTCGAGCGTATTCTAGGCTGTGCAGGTCTGAAAGGGAATATCGGTCATATGAATATTTTGCTATGAAATTAGTGATAAAGTTGCAAGAGACAATATTTCACCTATGGGGAAAGGAGTTGTATAGTGGAAAATAATTTATCACCCACCCAATGTCTGTCAAGGCTGGAGTAGGAAGATAGTGGAATGCTCTGTTCTGTTGACGATCGTAAGGTAAAGTTAGAATGGCAGGATTTTTAATTGTGATTTGTTTTTTTCAATGGCATATAAACTTCTTATGGGGTATTTAATGCTGAAATATAATTTCTCTTCAGAGATTTGAAATAATAAAAATATGATATATGTTATTGTGCTTTCACAGTTGAATAATTTCTACTTGATACTCAGCATTTGTGTGTATACATGTTTATGTAAACAGAATTAATACAGGCATTGATATGTGTTTTATGTTGTACTTTGTTGAAGTTATATTTTTTTAATACTGTTTGATTTAAGAAATTTAGAATATTATATGGATTAATGTCATGAAAAAGTTCTGTCATGTATTATTGGTAATTTTACTATAAATATGTATTGTTGGTAATGCTTTTTATATAAAAATGTATTGATGGTATTTTTATTATAAAAATGTATGTTTGTACTATCATAGGGTATTCTTTTTGTTTCGGGGTTCACTATTTAGCAACAGTAAGGGACCTAAAAAATGGTAGCACCCCGGGTTAGGGTGGACTTGACAACAGGTGCAATTCAGAGATGGTTAAAAAAACGCCTCAGAGCGTCCAATCTCCTGATCAGAGGCCTTGCTGGCATGGTAGGAGGAATCTTATAACTTCTGAAGCGGTATAAAGAACTGACCATTTTTCCAAAGTCTTTAGCAAATGGAATCTGTTGTGATCTGGAGTCCCCATAGACGTTCATTTTAAGTAGCATCATTGCGAGTACAGCCGTTCAGCCATGACAGGAATAAATTCAGGGTCTTCTATGTGACGGAGAAACGTTACTAGATACTTTTCTTTATGGAAATGATTCCACCCAACGAAACCGTGCGAGCTCGGTCAGGTATTAGATTAGCTGTCTGCTTCTGATAATCTAGATTTTTTGGTGTTGCAACTATAAACCGTGGTATCGTCTGCACATCTAATTAATAAATAACTGTTTGATTGTTTAAAGGCATATCAGCACATCATTTTCCATTTAATGCCAAAATTTAATTCTTAGGACGCATTGATATATATATATATATATATATATATATATATATATTAGTAAGGAAGGAGCGTAATTTCTTATTTAAATTTAAATCAAAAGGCATACTGGTGTAAATGAATAACTAAAAGCAACCGGTTTCGTCCCAGCTTATCAAGTTGGATTCTGGGAATTAATAGGCAAACCTTAATTTATAGGATGACCAATGCGGGGGAAGAAAAATATTCAAGGAATACTAGATACCAATATTATTCAAACCCAGCAAGACGAATTGCTTGCTGGGTCTGAATAAAATTACATCAATAAATTTTAATATTATATATATATATATATATATATATATATATATATATATATATATATATATATATATATATATATATAAGTTGTAAATAATGTTTTTAATTTTGTTCGTATTTATTTTTTATTTTATATTTGATATTTAAATTTCATCAGAAATAACTGTTCTGATGAAAGATTGAGGACAATTTGAAATATCAAATATATATATATAAATAAATAAATACCTTCAGAAAATAAAACACTATTTTTTAATTTGCAACTTTTTCTATATATACATATTAAGAAAGTATACGTGGCTTCTCATTATGCTATATATATATATATAGATATATACATGTGTGTGTGTGTGTGTGTGCGTGTGTGTGTGTGTGTGTGTGTGTGTGTGTGTGTGTGTGTGTGTGTGTGTGTATTGCTGTCATTCTTACACTAAAATTCTATTTTTGGGGAGCTTGTATATATTATTATTATTATTATATACATATATATATATATATATATATATATATATATATATATATATATATATATATGTGTGTGTGTGTGTGTATGTGTGTGTGTATATTACTATTGAAATCTGTTGTTATTTTAACTCTAAAAATGTATTTTATGCTTTTAGATTTTCTGAAACCAAGTTTCAAGTTTTTACTATTTTCCCATAACCGGGACTTTTATAGCGTCAACGACTTCAGGTCAGGGTGGACCTGTGAACAATAACAATTAAGAAGTGATTCTACCCTCCCCAAAACCCACCGCCAAGAGGCCTTGCAGCCAGATTTTTTATATCATCGGACCGAGGACAGATCTGAGATGTACGAACGTTTATTCGATTTTGAATCGATGTGCAACAAGAAATATATCAAGCGTTTGCTTGTTTGGAAGTTAAACAGAAAATCAAATACTAATTTTCCCGCCATGGAGACCGTCCGTATTTAAAAGTTTGGCATAACACAAGGCAATTTTATAATTGTTTTTCTTCCCAAAACTAACGTTAGTTTATATCAATAAATTAAATAAAATAGAATAATTTTATATTATTTTAAAAATGTAAAGTACGAGGAAAAATTCAGATGTGAGTTTTCGTCTCTGGTGTTATGATGATACAGAAAGGCTGTCGATGTTGCAGTAGAGACGTGGAAGCAGACAGTTTGACGCCATTCAAAGAGTAAAAATTGTCTGGTTGTTTATTCGAAAAATAAAAAAGAAACAGCCGGCCAAACTAAATTGAATAAAACAATTCAGCACAATGCAAAATATGGAAAACTATTAAAATAAAACAGATGCTAAAGGAGTGACATTTATTCACGAAATGTATATTTAAACCAAAATAAAATTAAATAAAGATAAATATATGCAGAATTCTCATATATATATATATATATATATATATATATATATATATATATGTGTGTGTGTGTGTGTGAATGTATATATATATATGTATGTATGTATATATATACATTCTGTATATATATATATATATATATATATATATATATATATGTGTGTGTGTGTGTGTGTGTGTATAAAGAGAGAGAGAGAGAGAGAGAGAGAGAGAGAGAGAGAGAGAGTGGAGTAGTGGCACGGACTGAGGACTCGGAGATCCGAGTTCGATTTCCAGTCGAATTCATTACATTCACTTCCGTGCTAATACCCTAAGGGTAAATAGTAGGACAGACTGGGCTCTATAGCCTTGGCAACTCTTCTATGAGTAGGATAATTCGGAATTCAAAACCTGCGGAGGGTCGTTTGGGGATCCTGTGGCACGTAGTGCACCAGGTCTCTGTATTCAGCTCTTCAGAAAATGTGGTTGGTTCTGCACAAAGTCTTTCACCATTATTACCAAATCATATGGGCTGTCGGTTCGAAGGAACCCCATACGTCGAATACGACGGTAGAGCCCACCCTATATATGATATACAATAGTCAGCAATACCTCTATTAAGCGTTTCAATAAATGTGAGTGAAAAGCCATTTTTGTGGAGTTTTTACTTGTATTTTCCTTCTATGTGCCGAACATATCTCTCGCACAGAAACGCACACACAAACTACCACCCTGAAAATGACAGATGAGATATTTTTTCAGTTTAATC